AGATTTCTCTTGGGTACTTTGTTCTACAAAGTAGCTGTCTTGGTACAATTTAGCTGACTTGGTCCTGCATTTGGATCTCTATTTGGATTCCTCTCACTGTGCTGTACCTCTGGAAGCTGCTTGCAACACTAAGCTCATGCAGTCATAGGGCTTATCTTGTTGGCATCCTTTATCTCAAGAATCACAGTCCTGTGCTGCCTTCTGTCCAATGTCTGAAAAACATTGTTTTAAATATTTTTGTCTGGTCTGGTTTTCTAGCTGTTTAAGGCAAGACAGTAAATCTGTTGCATGTTTTAAATGTTATATGTTACACCTTGGTTGGATCAAGTTCTCTAACTAGATTTTAAGATTATGGAAACTGCTCTAATTTTCATCTTATTTAAATGCCTAAATTTAATGAATGATAAATATGAGAAACTAAATAACATATAGTTTCCTATATAGTAAGGATAATTAATTAAGAATGTTGGTTTAATTTATAAGAAATTTTCAGAAATTGGAAAAAATATATAAATATGAGAACCAAGCAAGAAGCCTGAAGTTTTTTAGAATATTAAGTAATAACTGTTAAGTAAGGGTTGTATGATCAACATAATCAATATAACATATATAATGTACTATAATATAATTTCTTAGCTATGATTTTGATGCTTCACATAGCAAATGTATTTTTACCCACAAAAACAAATACCATGATCCTTTATTATATTTAATTTTTTTCCTTGAAAGTATTAGAAGCAAGTGAGAGAACTATGTTCTAGATTCATTATAGTTATTCTGTCCTAATATTTTCCCACTAATACAAAGGCATTTGGCACATTTCCTATTACAGATTATTTTCATTTCTTATTTCTTAAGATCATTATAGCATTTTCTTCCTTCCATCTGACAACTTTCCTCCCGAATACAATCCAAATAAGCTAAAAATCTACTTTCTTTTCTACAACCAAATACATGAATTAAAATTTTGAGACATTACCAGATGATATGACCTGTTCTAACAGTTATGGCTTTAAATATTTTTATTATCCTTGCTTATATCTTAGTGTAGTATTTAATTTCTATGTATAAGACAGTTCTTCCAAAATTGAAAGTGTGACAGATTGTGTACACATTTCTTTTAGGCTTAGGTTTTAGTATTAATACTCCAAATAAAATACCAAGTTGTCATTTAGAATATGGACTCCCTTTCCCCATCCAGTGACACCAAGACAGGCACAATAGGAAGAGCTTCCAGCAACAGCAGCGGCCACTTTGGGGAGTCTCTCTTTTTGCAGTCCTGAGACACTCCTCCTGTGTCCAAAGACATCAGGGTAGGCAGGGACATAATCACAGCAGGGGATAGAGGGAAAGATCCAAGAATTCCCAATTTGAACAGAGAGCAAATAGGCCAAATAATAATAATAATAATCAGAAACTCAGGGACCTGTGGGAAAGTAACAAATAATAAAACACATCTAACATTTATATCATTGGGATCTGATAAGAAGAGGAGAAAGAAAGTTGGGTTGAAAGAATTTTTGAAGCAATAATAGCTATCCACTCCAAAGAACATACCTCACAGGTTAAGGGCTCAATCTCACATGACCGTCCCCTACCTACCCCTTTTGATGCTGGTCCCACGATGTCACTTGTATTTCTGATTGGTTACAAATCGGTTTTTTCCAAAACTCCCTCCTCATGTTTGATATTTGCTAGAACTGCTCACAGAACTCTGGGAACACTTCGGTTTACCAGTTTATTATAGTATTATTGTACCAGTTATTATAATTTTGATGCAACTCAAAAGCAGCCAGGTGGAAGAGATGCATAGGGCCAGATATGAGAAAGGAGCATGGAGCTTCCACACCTTCTCTGGGCTTACCACCCTCCCAGCACCTCATCACGTGTCCATCAACGTGGAAGCTCTCTGAACTGTTTCAGTTAAGAGTTTTCATGAAGAATTCATTATATGGGCACGATTGATTAAATCACCGGCCATTGGTAATTAACTCAACCTTTGGCCCCTCTCCCCTCCCCAGAGGTCAGTGCTGGGGTTGTGGGGGGGAGCAGATGCTGAAAGTTCCAAATCTCTACTCACATGGTTCGGTCCCCTGGTAACCAGTTCCTCATCTTGAGGGGCTTTCCAAAAGTTACCTCATTAACATAAATTCAGACATGCTTGAAAAAGGCTTGTTAGGAATAACAAAAAATGTTCTTCTGATCTCTTTCACTCTGGAAATTCCAAGTATTTTAGGAGCTGTGTAGCAGGAACTGGAAATGAAGACCAAATATATATTTCTCATTATATCACATAATATCACACACCTGCAAATTCTATATCTGGCAAAAGTATGTTTCAGGAAGAAAATTAGGATGGTAATGTTATAAAAAATGAAGACAGGATCCAGGTATTTGACAAAATTCAACACCATTCATAATAAAAACTCTCAGCAAATTAGGACTAGAGAAAACTACTTCAACTTGATAAACAACACATACACAAGCCCCACAATAAAATTGTCTGTATTTGTAGATGACATGATTGCCTCTGTAGAAGATCCCAAGGAATTGGATTTTTAATTCCTAAAACAACCACCTAGAATTAATAAGTGAGTTTACCACGGTCACCGAATCCAACATCAATACAAGAAACCTAATGGCATTTCTAGACGCTAAGACTGAACATGCTGAAACCGAATTTAAAAATATAATATCATTTAAAATCACTCAAAAGAAATTGCAACACTGAGGTATAAACCTGACAAAACACGCATAGGATCTGTGTAAAAAAAAAAAATCACAAAATTCTGATTTAAAAAAGTGGAAGAAGACCAAAAGAAATGGAGACACATAGCATGTTCATGGATTTGAAGACTCAACATAGTAAAGATGTCAAATCTCCACAATTGGATCTGTAGGTCAATTGAAATTCCTATCCAAATTTTAGCATGGCTTTTTGTAGAAAGAGACAAGCTTATTCTACATTTTATATGGAAAGGCACAAGCCCTAGAATAGTTTTTAAAATCTTGGCAAAGAATAAATGTTTGTAGCTATTAAAACCAAATTTATAAAACAGGGTATATTCAAAGAAGATAAATATCATTCTTCTGTGTAAGATGTAGAAAGACCCAAAAGTCCATTGCTTCCAAGCTAAGAATGAGAAAAAAGATGGATAATCTACAGAGTTGCTGAAAAAAGCATACCTACATATGACCTCGCTGATATGAGGAATTCTTAATCTCAGGAAACAAACTGAGGGTTGCTGGAGTGGGGGGTGGGGTGGGAGGGATGGGGTGACTGGGTGATAGACACTGAGGAGGGTATGTACTCTGGTAAGCACTGTGAATTGTGCAAGACTGTTAAATCTCAGATCTGTACCTCTGAAACAAATAATGCAATATATGTTAAGGAAAAAGAAGAAGAAGAAGAAGAAGAAGGTAGCAGGAGGGGAAGAATGAAGCGGGGGAAATCGGAGGGGTAGACGAACCATGAGAGATGGTGGACTCTGAAAAACAAACTGAGGTTTCTAGAGGGGAGGGGGGTGGGAGGATGGGTTAGCCTGGTAATGTGTATTGAGGAGGGCACATTCTGCATGGAGCACTGGGTGTTATGCACAAACAATGGATCATGGAACACTACATCTAAAACTAATGATGTAATGTATGGGGATTAACATAAGAATAAAAAAATAAATAAAGAAAAGAAAAGAAAAGAAAAAAGCATACCTATAATAAGTGAGACAACAGAAGAAAACCCATCATATTTTCTGAAAACTGTAGTCCTGATTGCAACCTGATACCACAGGCTTTGTTCTTTCAAATGGGAGAGAAAAAGCAAAGACTTCGAAGAGAAAAATCAGAAGGCTTCTCTTCATTACAGGGACTTCAAATCCAGGAGGTTCCAAGCTGGGTACATCACTGTTCTCTGTCTAGTCAAACCTCTGCCACTTCCTGTGTTTCTCATCTCAGTAAATGTCAGCACCATTTACCCCAGTCACTTAGGCTGAGACACGGTGTCATCCCAGACTCCTCTCTCTGTATCATCTGCCTCATCCAATCACTTATCAACAGCTACCAGTTCTACCTCCCCAAATTTTCTTAAATCAACTCCATCCTCTTGCTTAATATTACCACCATGAGAACAATTCCAGCCCTTATCCTGGGATCACCACGTATATTGGGATGACTTGTCTGTTTCCCATCCAGCCTACACCTTGCAGTCTCCTGATCTCCAGAAAGTTACTATCTGACTTAGTTTCTGCTTGAAATCTCTGGAAAGAGGCTGAACTGAAGCAGTTCATTGTCTCCACTGCCCTCCCTGGCCTGCCTCCTCCTGATCTGATCTCTCCAGCCCCATCTCCTGCTAGTTTGAAACCAAAGAATTCCAAACTGTACTTCTTTTATAACCTATGTAGATACTTCCAAACTGTTCCACTGATAGGAACAGCACTCCCTTCTTTGCTCTGATAATTCTCTTATTTTACAGACTCGGTTTGGTTAAACTGTAGTCCTCCAGGGTACCCTGTGTCCCTCGCCTGCACCTCTATCGCACCCTGTAGAACCTTTATTTTGGCATTTACCCATCCTTTTGGAACTATTCGTCTGTGTGTACACTCCATCCATTGGTTTGGACGCGCTGTCTGCAGCCGGAGGGGCACTCACCACAGTCGCTGAGCCCGCGGAACACGCATAGGCAAAGTTTTCCTTTTTTCCTCCCACTTATCGCCTTTCCCTCCCAGTTGGCTGGTGACACACAGTATAGGAAAACCAAGGTCATGGCCATAGCTCAAGACCCTCCCACATTACTCGCACCAGCTGAAAGGCATCTGCGCACACAGGCAGTTCGGACACGCTGGGTCGGGTGCGGTGCTCGGCCTTCCCCGCCCCCCAAGAGCCCGAGACCTCCTTGGCACTGCTTGGCAGACTCCCCGGCTCCGGTGCGCGGCGTCCGGGTCCGCGGAGAGGCGGCGGGAGCAGCGCCGGACCTCGGCCCCCCACCCCCCCCCCGGCGGTGCGTGATGGGCACCCCGCGGCGCTTCAGGTGACCTTGCCCCGGCAGCGCAGCCCAGCAGCGCAGCCCGCAGTTCCAGGCGCCGCGGTCCTCGCGCCCAGCCGGTCTGCTGGGTAACCCCGAGCGCGCTAACACCCGGCCCTGCTAGACCTCCCTCCCGGTTCTGTTAGTCAGCCGGCCATCTACAGGAATTTATTTCTCTGGGCCCCGGGTCATTACGTGGAGCAAGGGCCCCTTTGGACTGGGACGTCCCCCTGGGTCTTCCTATCTGCCCGAGCTTCTTTCTCATCGACTCGCCTTTCAAGCTTTCGGTCCTCCAGCTCTTCTGTCCACACCTTAGATCTGCTCGAGCCCTGCTGGGAGTCTGTTCCATTATCCCAGAGAGAAGAAAATCAGCGTGTGGATGGTGACCAAATGCCCCAGGGATCGGGCACTGCAGCCTTTCTGAGTGCTCCCACCTCTCATTGAGCCCCTTAGCCCTCCTCCACCTTTTCCTAGGACCCCCTTTCTCCAGTTCCCACGCCCGCCCTGTCCTGTTCCTGGCTGTGGGCTTCTAGGACTGTCTATCCTCAGCTTTCTGTCGGGACTGAGGTGGGCTGTGGGGCAGCCGGGGTGGTGCAGGGGACCTCAGTGGATCCAGGTAACGCCGCAGTTTCCCTGCGCATTAGGCTAGCCTAGAAGAGCTACCTTGATGTGAGCCTCCTCTGTGGCTCTTGCGACTAACCTGCTTCTAGAGCAGCATTTTAATCCTTACAGTTTGACGAGTCCAGTGCCTTCCCTTGGTCATTGCTCTTTCTCTTTTCAGCTGGTGTCTCTCCTGGAGAAGAATCCTGTGCATCTTTTTCGTGCCACTTATCTTACCAGGTTTTGCTCCCCGAGTGAAAGATAGAGTGCGTCTTATATACACAAATGCACAGCTACAGCCAGCCCGGTACGGTTTGCCTGAGTGGGGGAAGGGGGTGGGGGCGTCTTCTTTCTTGGAGAAGATAATAGCAGCAGGATGCTCGCAGCGTGTCCTACCACAAGAACTTCCCTTTCCGCTAAGGCTATGGCGGCCTGTCCTCTTTCTCTCTCGCTCTCTCAGCATGTTTAATTGGTCTCACCTGACCCCCCTCACGCTGAAGGACCGATCTGTGGGACTTGAGACTGAAAGCAGAGTCGGAAGTAAGCCATACTTCACCCTGGGGGGTCACGAGTTCCTGATTTTCGGGGGCTCCATCCATTATTTCCGGGTGCCCGGGGAGTACTGGAGGGACCGCTTGCTGAAGCTGAAGGCCTGTGGATTCAACACCCTCACCACGTGAGTGCTGGCCCTCTAGCCCTGCATGACCTTGCTACCCTACTCCTAACCCCTGCATCCAGGCGCAGAGCCTCTGGATTTGGGGCCCCCGCCTGAGGGTTTACCTTCGGAATAGTCCTTTCTAGCATGTGCCTTATATGCTTAAGTGTCACACCTCACACTTGGTTTGCTGTGGTCAAAGCCTTGGGTAGGGGTTAATGAGAGCAAGACAGAAGGAGTAAGTGATTGCCACAAGAATCTCTCTAATGGGAGAGTCGTTGGGTCCCTTAGGAGCTCTCAGTTCAATGACAAAGGCTCAAAGTATACTTAGAGATAAATAATACATGGTGGGTTTTTTTTAAGATTTTATTTATTTGAGAGAGACTGTGTGTGTGCGCCTGCGCGCACACAAGCTGGGGGGAGGGGCAGAGGGAGAAGCAGACTCCCTGCTGAGCAGGGAGCCTGATGTGGGGCTCCATCTAATCCCAGGGCCCTGGAATCATGACCTGAGCCAAAGGCAGATGCTTAACTAAGACACCCAGGAGCCTCAATACATGGTGTTTTAAAAACGATTTTTATTTATGTATATGGAGGTGAGCTTGTAAAGGAATAATAGTATCAAAAGAAATGGACACGGCAAAGGAAATACCAGTATCACTAAAGTGAAGTTTAATGGCATTAAGGGAATGAATACTGTAGCTTAATGATTAAGAGCATAGGGACGCAGGGTCAGACAGACCTGTCTTCAGTCCCAGCTCTGCCTCCAAGGGCATCACATCCTAGGGCCCTGGTGTCCTCGTCCATAAATGGGCAAAATAAAAATTGCTTCATAAGTTTGTATTGATGATTAAATGAGATAAAACCTTTACCTTATTTATGTGAAAAGTGCCTATCACAATGCCTGGCACGTATATGAACTCAATTCTAATGGCAAAAAAAGAAATGCAAACTTACTTTAGTCAATCATAAGAATTTAAATATAAATGTAACATGATTAAATATACATTTAACATGATAAATTTAGCGTGATCTTTAACATGATTAGGTGTATAGTGACAAAAGGTAACGTGTATTTAGGGTCTACTGATGGCTGGGCATTTTGTAATTATCTTCACAAAATCACTTAATCTTCACAACTAGCTGTCCTATGAGATGGATACTGTAATTCTCACTGTGCGGGGGGGTAAATGACAGAAGTATAGAGGGCTTAACTAGCTTCCTCAGGGTGAGTCTCCTCCCACCTTCTTCTCAAGGTGTGACCCTTGCTGTGACCCAGCTGTGAGTGAGGATGCTGCCCAGGTCACACACGGGCATAGCCTCCTGCCTGTGCACAGATGGCCAGTCAAATGAAAACCAGCCCGAAGCAAAAATCACATTTGAGTTAGGAACAGTGGAGATTCCTTCATAACAAACCTATTTCCACAAAAGCCTTGAAGCTCAAAAAGTTGGGAGTCGATAAAAGTGGGATAGAGGGTAAGCCTCAAGAAACCATTCCAAGGAAGGCAGCCCTGTAACAGGTGCACGGGAAAGAACGTGAGGTTAACTTCATGGGAATGGTGTTTTTGGAGTCGGAGAAAAAAGGCTGAGGCACCTGGATGGCTCAGTTGTTAAGCGTCTGCCTTCGGCTCGGGGCATGATCCCAGGGTCCTGGGATCGAGCCCCGCGTGGGGCTCCCTGCTCCGCGGGAAGCCTACTTTTCCCTCTGCCTCTCCTGCTCCCCCTGCTTGTGTTCCCTCTCTAGCTGTTTCTCTCTCTGTGTCAAATCAATCAATCAATCAATCTTACAAAAAAAAAGGAGTAAAGGCAGGGGAGCCCACCCTTCATATAACAATGCTGCCATTGACAGAACACTGAGATCCCCATCTACATATATCCACACTATAAAGTACGACAACCAGTTTTAGTTATTCAGCGAACATGTATATAGTATTTACACTTAGCCAGGCATGTTCTAAACCCTGGAAAATATTAATTCACATTGTCACTATATCAATACTATATGGTGAGTAGTGTAATCATTATCTTATGTAGGTGAGAAAACTCAGGCACTTGCTCCAAGACTACACAGTATTAGCAGAACTATGCTTTGAATTCAGACACCTGGTTCCAGCAGCTAAGCAACTCAACCACCTTTCATAACTGGGGACTTCGAGACTGAGGATGACGTTCAGAGCACTTTGCAACCCTGCTTGTAAAGTCATGTAAAGTTAAGTCCCCTCTGCAGGGCATTTTATCATTTTATGAGACAGAACTCATTTTTCTGTTTCTTGCTGAGATGTTTATCACCAGCAATCAGAAGGATATGTTGTCTTCATGGTCAAGCTGTGGGATTTTATTAGAAACATCAGGAAAAAGTAAAGGCAGTCCTGAGAGGCTTAAGCTTACAATATAGAAGGAGAAAGAGCAGAAAAAAATGTTAGCAAAACTCTACGGGGCATTTAATGTAATGTAATGTAAAGTTTTACATCTGAACTATAATTATGTCAATTAAAAAATAGTTGAGTTCCCTTGCTTTTCTGGGCAATTCTACACTGGTTGTTATGGATTATACTTACAATGCATTGATTATTTAAAAAACAAAGAACCACCGGATGTCCTGACCCACCTACACCACTGACAAGACCTAGCAGGACCATAGAAATGCAAAACCTGCACTGCAATCAGAAGAGATGCCCCTTTCCTCCTGAATGTCTCTCCACCGTCCTCTTGTGGCAAAGATAAGCACGGTACTCGCTACAAAGGACAAAATGCTTCAAGGGCAGGCTGCATCCATTACTGCAGAGCTGATACTAAAGGTTGCATCTGAAGCTGGGAGGCAGTAAATTGATAACTGGCTCATCTAATAATCAAAGAATTTAATCATAAGTAATCATTGAGTTTTATTGAGAGTCTTTTCTACATCTAATGAAAAAATTATATGGTTTTTCTTCACTTCTTTATTAAAGTAATAAATTATATTGACAATTTTTCTGATATTCAACCAATCCACAGCTCTGGGATAAATTCTGTTTGGTTACGAGACATGAATATGTGAATATGCACACACACATGAACACATATAGATTGCTAGACTTGATTTATTTGTGTTTTATTTCAGATATATATATATTTATGATTATAACTGAAATTGATTTAAAATTGTATTTCTCTTAGTATCTCGTCCAGTTTTGATCAGTCTTATAATAAACTCATCAAGTCACTATATATTTTTTTCTCTTCTCTGAAACTACCTTGCAAAAGAATTCTCTTTACTCTGAATGTTTCTTAAAATTCACCTGTAAAATCTCTGTGACTACTATCTTTTGTGGTTGTGAGGTGAAGATTCAACTTTCTTGAATGGTTACTGCTTTTTCTTCTAGAGTATATACTATTTTTATTCTGTAGATCTTTTCTCCTTTTCTTTCTTCTTTTGGAAACTCATAGAGTGACTATATATTTTTTTCTCTTCTCTGAAACTATCTTGCAAAGGAATTCTCTTTACTCTGAATGTTTCTTAAGATTCACCTGTAAAATCTCTGTGACTACTATCTTTTGTGGTTGTGAGGTGAAGATTCAGCTTTCTTGAATGGTTATTGTTTTTTCTTCTAGAGTATATACTATTTTTATTCTGTAGATCTTTTTTCCTTTTCTTTCTTCTTTTGGATTAACTGGGACTTTTAAAGATTCTCCTTTCTTTCTTGGAAGTTGTACATCATATTGTGTATTTAGGCCTTTTTTTTAATCTTGTCTAAATATTTAGTTTTTTCAAAGAACTAGCTTGTAGCTTTATTAATGCTCTCTATATCTTTTTGTTTTCTAGTTGATTATTTCTGAGTTATGCATAATTTCCTCTCTTCTACCTTCTTTGATTTAGTACCTTCTCCCCTCTCCTCTTCTCTTCCCCTACTCTCTCCTCCCCCTCCTCCTCTACCTCCTCCTCCCCCTCCTCCTCTACCTCCTCCTCCCCCACCCTCTCCTCCCTTTCTTTCTCCTCCTCTTCCACTTCCTTCTTTTCTCCTTGTCTCCTGAGTTGAATATTTAGCTCATTTTCTTTCCAGGATTTTGCATTTTCTAATATATTTATTCAGGGATATGAGTGTACCTCTAATTATTGCTTTGGTTACATATCCCATAAATTTTGCTGTGTAATACTTTGTCACCTGGTCTCAAACATTTCAGCTATTTGGGAATATGCCTTCTGTTTTATTTATTTATTTTACTTTTTATATTTTTAAAGCCTAATTTTCTAATGTAGTTGTCTTTGTCTTGGGATCATGGACTATGTGATGTAAGTTTTTGAGATTTGTTGAGATTTATTTTGTATTTTACGACTGTTGCATGTGTTTTTAAGAATATATGTGCTCTACCTTTGGCTACTGAGTTCTCTATGTATTTCTTAGATTCAGCCTTTCATTTGTGTTATTCAAATTTACATCCTTACAAGTTTTTGCTGTTATTTTCTTTGTTTCTTAGGGAAGTATTTTAAATCTTCCCACTATGACTATGGATTTATCCCTTTCTCTGGTTCAGTTAATTCCTCCTTTACATGAAGCTATGATCATAGACCACATGAGGTCATGATTACTGTATCTTCTTGATGGATCATTTCCTTTTTTATTATTCGATGCCTATCAACATCTATTTGGTTTTTTTTTTGTTTTTTTTTTCTCAACATCTATTTGTGAGGGATTTTTTTTTTTGCTTTAAAGTCCATTTTGCCTGCTATTTAAGATTGCTAGAATAATTTTGCCTCATCTATATCATTTTCTATCTTTGTTTTCAACTTTTCCCAGCAATATCCTTTAAGTAAGTCACTTGTGAGCATCATTTAGCATTTTTTTTTCATTCTGTTCTCTTAGTGCATAGCTATAAAATTTATCATGCATATTTAAGTCTTGAGCAAACCAACTTTTCATTCCTCCTCACAACGAAAGATCTTAAATACAGTCAGTTCTACCACAATGCAACATATGGATTAAAATCTACATTGTGCAAAATTGTGTAATAAGAACTACAGAGCTAATGAGAAAATGAGGTTAGAGGCACAACACTCAAGAACTTTGTTGGTGACACACACAAAAAAGATAGTCATCTAATAAAAATAGCACCTAATAAAAATTTTACACGTATCTCTTTGTCCCTACAGGCTCAGCCCTGGGGGTGGGGGAAGGTGCCTCACACGGTCCTTCTTGCTAAATCTAAAACTGGCACTTTTCTTCATTGCATCTCCATTATCCTTGTAGGAAGTCCTCCTCTATTCTTATTTTGATTAATTCTTAGCAAAAATTTCTTGGGTATATGTAGGCATTCGAGGGTTTTATCCTTTTCATTATAGGTTTAATGGGTATTACGTAGAATGGAGTGGTGAGTGGGATAATTTATGTATAAATTCAAGGAATCTAGAATCATAGGATTATTGGCAGCTTGGACCACAACTGGGTAATAAAGAAAGGAACTATTGACAATAATCAATGTTTACATAATATGTATTTAATTGCCATTAGAAACTCCAACTTATTCCAAAATAGAGCTATCCCAGGTGTTGGCATGGATTTGGGGCTGACCTAGGAATTTAGAGGAAAGAAATCAGAAGATGTTTATTGTACTTCCCCCTTCCCTATTACAGCTATGTTCCGTGGAACCTCCATGAGCCACAAAGAGGCAAATTTGACTTCTCTGGGAACCTGGACCTGGAGTAAGTGCTCTTGCTTCTTCTATGGCCTGGCCTGGGGTGGGGAGGCAGAGAGGTGGCCCCTTGGGGTTGATCAGGAACTGTGGGACCATCTTGGTTCTGCTTTGAGAACCAGAGAGAGGCAGGTCGGGAGCCTTGTTCTCAGGACCCACATGTTCTCCATGAACCTGTTACTCCTGGGGTTCTGGGTCTGCTTCCTCTGAGCCCAGACCTCTTCACTGCAGCCCAGAGGTGCCTAATCCCCAGTGTCTGCCCTGCTTTGCAGTGTGGGCCAGCCATCTGTGCTGGGACAGGGGTTGCCCCTCTATGGTTACCCCTCTAAGGCTGTTGGGGTCAGGTTCACTGTTGGGACCCCCCCATACCCTGTTTGATGCCCTTCCTCCTTATGCCCCCAGTGGGGCTGTGCAGAAGGTCCTGGGCTGGGAGCAAGTGTGAACCCAGCTCCCAGGGCCTGTGAAGGGAGGGAGGAGAGGAGCTGGGCAGCTCCACCACCTTGTGATGCTGGGCTTGTCCCCACCATCCCCTCTGTGTCTTGAGAGCTGCTGACACTGACCTCCCTAGGGCCTTTGTGCTGATGGCTGCGGAGATCGGGTTGTGGGTGATTCTGCGTCCAGGCCCCTACATCTGCAGTGAGATTGACCTCGGGGGCTTGCCCAGGTGAGTGGGGCTGTGAGTCCAGAGTTGTGGTTGTAGTAAAGTTTATTTGTTGGCTTTACTAAACATAAAACTTCAGTCTAATAACAATTGAGCACATCCTCTGTGTCTTGCACTGTTATTTGCTTTATATACATTGTCTCAGGCAGGGGTTGCAATAGTATGGTGAGGTGTAGGTGCTCTTGTAATCCCCATTTTATAGACGACACATCGTGCTGGTGCTCTGGGTGTGTGGCCAAGAGTGTGCAGGGGGAGAGGAAGCATCAGGATGATCATAGTCTTTTTTCCACACTGGAGGGAGCTATGCCCAACTCTGGCCTGTGGTGGGAAGAATAGGGGGAAGCCTTAGACACTGAAGAATGGGTTTGTTCTAACCATGTCTGATTTTTCTCTTAGTTTGTCAGTGGAAGACCAAATTCTCTGTACTAAGAACCTTCAGTCCCCCTCCTTTCCCTCTTATTTTCCTTTGCCTGTTCTCTCATCTGTGATGCTTGCCCTCAATGCAAACAACTAACGTTCAGGGTGAGAATTCAAGAATGCTCTTCTGTTACTGTCACAAGCTGACAGGACTGCCCATTTAGACCATGGCTCTGCTCCAGGTGAGCACTTTTACTTTCCTTTGTCAGGTAAAAGAATTACTTTTCTCCAAGATGAGCTTGTTTTCCCATCCCAGCTCAGGAGCAGAAAATACCTGACCTTGAAGAAGAGGGTGCCTTAGAGGAGAAGCATTTCATGGGGCAGGTTAGCTGGATCCCTGCCCAGTACTTTACAGGTGATCTGGAGGTGTGCTTACTGGCTTATAAGCTCTTACTCTGTGCTGGAAGTCTCAGCTCTTAGAGGAAATGCAACCTCTGCCTAAGGTGTTTACACTGTGCTCAAGAAAAATGTTTTTAATGAACTGAACAAGAAGAGAGGAGAGTATTCAACGAAAGGTTAAACTACCTCTCATTAAGATGTGGGAGTACAAGTCTTGATAGTAAGTTGTAAAGTGCCATGTCGATGGAGTTGGTATCTTTTCTTCTAAATTTCTGAGAATGGTCCAAAAACCTGACATGGACCCATCCCTTCAGGACCCCTGAGTGCTCCAGGACCATGGACATGAGCTCAAAGGATGTAAAACTGCCAAAGCCCCACCCCCACTTACCCTCACCTCTACCCTCCCACCTCAGACACTGAGCTTGTCCCCTTTGGCCCCCAGCTGGTTGCTGCAAGACCCCAAGATGATATTGAGAACAACCTACAAGGGCTTTGTTGAAGCAGTTGATAAGTATTTTGACCACCTGATTTCCAGAGTTGTTCCTCTCCAGGTAAAGCAAATTTCCTGTTCCTTCTTTTATTTTTTTTTAAGATTTTATTTATTTATTTGAGAGAGAGAAAGAGAGAGCACAAGCAGGGGAAGGGGCAGAGGGAGAGGGAGAAGCAGGCTCCCCACTGAGCAGGGAGCCCGATGTGGGACTCGATCCCAGGACACTGGGATCACGACCTGCGCCAAAGGCAGATGCTTAACCGACTGAGCCACCCAGGCACCCCTCCTGTACCTTCCTTCTTATCTTTGCTCTAGGAAATTGTTTTTCTGGCTTGTTCACAGAATAGGCCATGCCCAGTCTTTATGAGAATTAAAGCTGACATTCTTGCAATTTTCAATTCTAGACCCCCATCTTAAGTAGAGCCTTTACCCCAAGGTTTCTAGAAAGACACACATGGTACAAGGGACTGACAAAGGGTGTTCATTTGTGGTTGTCATTGTTCTGAATGTACTCGATATTCATTAAGCTCACTGACCTTCATACTGCTTATTTTTACTCTTAAATTATCTTTGTTGTTTTAAATAGTTAATACAGGTCCTTGGTGATAAAACTCAAAAGAGTATAAAAGAGTTGATGGTGAAATAATTCTCCCCTCTTACCCTGAGCCAAAGCCATTCAATTTCCTTTTCAGAAGATAATCAATTTTGCCAGATTTTTGTGTGTCTTTCCAGAGATTTCCTACACATATAGAAGCAAGTTATTTATACATACACTTACACATGTGTATGTGTATTTATGCATACTTTTTAATAAAAAATACACAATTCCCACTGAACTTTTTTTTCACTTAAAAATATATTTTTGAAACCCATTCTTTTTAATATCTGCATAGTATCCCACAATTTGGATATATCGTGATTCATTTAACTAGTACCTCATCATGGACATTTGATTTTTCAAGTTTATGCTATAATGCATAACTTGGCTTATATGTCATTTTGTACCTGTGTGAGTATATTTGTTATTGCTATTTACATTCCAGTTTGTTTTAGTTTCATGAATGCACAGAGCACAGACACCATGCATTTTCCTTTCTTCATGGAGTCTCCAGATCTTATGCAAGGTACCCACAGCACACAGACCAGTCTGTGATAAAAAAGAACATATACCCTGCAGTCTACAAGGCAGCAATTGTTTGGTCATTATGTTTGATTTTTAAAATACAACTCTCTTCCAAAGAAGAGGGGGTGCATGGCTATTACTTAAATAAAAATAAATCTTATTTTGAGAGCATATATCTTGATAAAACTTGAGAGGGGATAAAAACCAATTATTAGGTAGTAGACCAATAGCTTATTATCTTAGACTCTTTTTTTGGGGGGGGGATATGATGCAGATCTAGCCCTTTGTAACTCATTCTCAATTGTGAATTATGAGTTACTCTTAGAATAATTTTAAAGAAAAGAAACTGTGGATTAGGAATGGAAATAAAGGGAAAGACAGATTAGGAATAATGTCTCTGCAGTACAGCTTTAGGAGAGATGAGCAATGCTGCGGGGAAGAAGACATCGTTAGGATTAAACTCTGGGTCTCTTAGGCGGAATTGAGGTACATCTTTCATCAGAAGGGCTAAAAACCATACGTTTCTGGCTGCGTTTCTGCCAAATAGGTGGGACCAGATGCAGGAGCAAAAATCTCTGAGCCTTAAAGCTAGAAAGACTTTGGATGTTTGGCTGGAAGTTCAGGCACAAGTAGAAATGCCACATATCATTAATACAGATGCAGCAAGCAACGCGAATTTACAAACACCTCACTGAAATCGTGAGGTAGGAAATCCCAGGAAACTTTTCAAAAGCAAGGAATTTTAAGTGCAAATGAAATTTATAGGGCTTATCATTACTAAATTGTTAGTATTTTAGAGTTTTCTATTTGGTTGTCTTGTTTTAATTATTACATTTAAGTAATTTTTAGAGTGTCTTTACTATTTCACTTGGGACTTTCACCCTTCTAACCCTGTTTGTTTTGTAAGGTCAACCGTGAATTTATGACGCAGTTTTTAGAAATCTCACCCTCCAGGTTGGGGAGAAGATATGGTTCAATAATACAAGCAATTTTTCTTAATTCATCAGTGTGGAATACTTATGTTCACTTAACGGGTAATTACTGAGCACCTGCTATGTGCCAGATGCTGTGTAGGAGCTAAGCTTCCAATGGTGAGAAGGACAGACATGGTTCCTGCCCCATGGAGACAAATGACCACTTACAACATGAGGGATAGTTGCTGCAGTGGAAGAAGTGCAGGACAGCCCTCATAGGGTAGCAACAAGGGAGGAAGGGAGGCTCAGGGCATGGTTTTCCAGAAAAAGTAACTTAAACAGTGACCTGAGGTATGGGCAGGCATTAGCAATGGTCAGGAGGATCCAATGGGTAAGGATCAGAGAGCAAGAGACAGAAGGAGGAGTTTGAAGAGCTGGAAGTAGAAAGTAAGGTGGGAAAGAGGGAAAAGATGAGGCTGTAGAGGAAAACCCACCACACATGCTCACTCTCTTCTGTTCCAACACAGGGGCATGCTCATTCTCTTCTGTCCCATTGTCCAAAACGGAATACCTCTCTCTAAAATTGGCATTTACTCTGTAGGCAATAGGAACCATGTAGGGGGTGGAGTGGTCAGGCTGTCAAGAGCTCACTCTGCCTTCAGTATGGAGAGGCTTCTGCACTTGAGTGTGGAAGGACATTGAAAGATTAAGTTAAACAGTGAAACTTATAATGTCAGTATAATTTCAACTAGGTTACTGTTGGTGACAGGTGGCACGACGGCATTGGAAGAATTACTGTGGTGGTTTGAGGGGTGGAGTCGAAGTGAGAAAGCAAAGCAAAAAAACCAAACCAAACAAAAAAAAGTGAGAAAGCAGAGAAAATTGAGTGTAGACAACCGGTAACTCTTTTAAGAAAAAGGGCTCTTAAAAAGGGGAGAGCAAGAGAACTGTGGGTGGGGTAACAGTCCTGGGTGCTCTCCCTCTCCAATGTGAGGGTTCCGAATACGTTTCCATGATGCTGGAGGTCAGTTGATTTGGAAGGAGAGGTTGAAAGTACAGAAGGTAGAGGGAACAGGGCAGAGAGTAGGAAGCAGGGAGACTCCACGCATGAGTGGTGGCATTATCCTAAGGCAGGAGGGTGAAGGAACACCTCTTTCATTTGCTGGGGAAAGTGGATAGGGTGGGTAATGAAGCATGGGAGTTTTTAGGTTTGAGATTCATATTTAAGCAGATAATTAGTATGAGAAATAGAGGGAAAACTGTGGGAGCTGCTTATCTCCAAAGTCTAGGGAAGGCAGGACTCTGTGCAACAGCTGAAGTGCCTGGAGGTGATTGACTCCAGGACCTGGGGGAAGAGAGGGAGCACCAAAGGAACATGAGGTAACTACTTGGATCAAAGCTTACCGCACCAGGTGTGTGATCTTAGCAGCAAACTCAGAAACTCCAGGCTTTTCCCACCCGTAGCTTCACATTTCCCCTTGATTTGCTTGTTTCTCAGTACCACAGGGGAGGCCCCATCATTGCAGTGCAGGTGGAGAATGAATATGGTTCATTTGCCAAAGATAAAGATTACATGCCTTATGTTCAAAAGGTAAGAGACACTTGGTGTGTCCTCATATTTACATGCTTCCTTCCTCACTCTGTCATTTTTATAGGCATGCATTTTCAAGGCCCTTGCTGCATGGGTGACCCTGTGGTAGGTGCTATGGGTCTCATCACTATGTTGAGAAAACTGGATCTCACTCTGTGAGATCAAGTTCAGTGTCTCTGTGAATGTGCAGTGTTGTCAAGATGTACTCAGATAACTTTATTAGGAGATAAAACATGATGTGGAAAGATTATATCTTTCTCTTGCTATTTCTATGACCCATAATTCTCCTTAAATCTGGGGGCTGGTAAATTTACATCCATAGTAAATAATGCTTCATGAACTTAATGACGACGGCTCTCATCCTGCAGCTTTCTGACCTGTAGTGTTAACATTCTTTCTTCTGTTGCCTTTGCTCCTCCATGAGGCGGGGGGGGGGGGTGTCTCAGGCCAGGGAACAACTGCAGTCTTGCCTGGTTGCCTTTCTGATGGGTCAGGACCCTTCCCGTCCCTGATTTCCCACAGTGAAGAAGCTGATGAGTTTCGAGTGTAAACTGGACCTCCTCCCCAGGTTGCTAAGCAAAATGCGGGGTCGCATGTTAGCTGTGTCCACACAGAGACCCCTGGGAGGGACGACCCAGAAGGCAGTGGGGAAGAGCTGCCTCCTGGGCAAGGAAGAGTGAGCAGGTGACAAGAGGGGGAGGAGGGCAGTGCTGGGCTCCCCGGACATCCTGGCTCCTCCCACAGAGCTCTGGCCTCCGGGGCTGGACAGGCTCTGTGAGGGACTCCCCCCCTCTAACTATTCTCAGGGGCATCACGTTAGACCCCCTCAAATCAGTCTCATTCAGCTAGCATTGTTTTTTCTTGACTTTCAAAATTTACTACTTGACTACCCTGCCAGGCCTGGACATGGCTTAGTGAATATGTAAGACACATAGCTGGGGTCCTCTTGCCCTCTGGTCATCTGTCTGCTCCTCAGCCCTTAGTAAATGCAGTTTGCAAATTAGATTCCACCCCCCTTCCCTGAAGCCATGACAGGCTTTCTTGCTTCCTTTGAGTGTCCAGGTAGGACCCAAGTTTTATGAAGTTTATCTGTGATCCCCACAGCCTTGGCCTCTTTCCTTCAAGCACCAAGTGCTTCAAAACCTTCTCTCTTTCTCTTGGATTTAGAGTCTCCCTCAAGTGCTTCCTCATAAAAGTCAGCCTTGGGGTTTTCCCCTTCAGACTGTGACCATGGATGTCAGAGCTCCTGACTCAGCTGCTCTTGTGGTCATCCCTGGGAACAAAACAGGCTGGGACAGAGACCAAGGTTCCCCTAATTTACTGAATTGCAGACGGTCAGACTCTAAATTCAAACCTTTCTCTCTAGCTCACACATTGCCCAAGTGAGCCCAAGCTATATTTTTCCCTAATTTCCTTATGCTTCCTTCTTCTCATGGGAGCAAGGGAAGTAGGTTCATTTTGTCCAGTTTTCTCAACAGGCCCTGCTGGAAAGAGGGATTGTGGAACTGCTCGTGACCTCGGATGATACAGAAAATGTGCTAAAAGGCCACATAAAAGGAGGTACAAATTTAGACTTATTTTAAGGAAGAACTGAGGCCCTTCACCAGCCAGTTTGAATCTTGAACCAAGTATATCTCAGATGTCTACATTGGAATGGACTCCAGAAACTTGATACTGATAAGGACTCAAGGTCCAAGTGAAGAGCTCACACACCAACCCCAACTCTTTCCCTCAGTCATGTTGTCTTTAAACAGAGTTATAATTGAGATCTTCTGGTCTCAGTACACTTTTCCATCTTTCATAATTTTTCCGTGGGCTAAGAATCTGGATTGGTGCTGGGCATGGCTTAGAATCCCAGTCTTCTCCACCAATGTGGAGAGCCACATGGAGAAACAGAAGATAGACGTGTGTCAGGAAGATGGCCTAGGCCAAGTTCTAGTCCTGGGATCTTATAGCTGGAAACTCACTGTGGACTCTGAGTTCATCCTAGAGGGTGAAGTAACAGAACAGTTCAGACCAGAATCATAAGGTGATGATAGTGAGGGAAATGACCATGGTATTATCAGCAGCCATTTGAGTCCGAGGGAGTATCTGTCAGGTAGTCCTCAGTTCAAGACCAGTTACTTCCATATATTGCTGTTTTCCCCTCCTTTTTGGTGGCTCTTCCCCTCACTATTATGGTACAATGGGAAGTGTGCTGAACTTGGGTCAGGAGACTTGTTTTCAGTTCCTAGGTCTAATCAAATTGTATGGTCTTGGCCTGTTCTACTTCTCTACACAAAATGTGGTTAATTTTAACTGCCCTTCTTATCTTGCATTGTCCTTGCAAGTGTCTAGTGATGTGAGGACTTATATGGCAGCCCTTTGTACTTTGCAAAGTGGAATATAAGTAGTGTCTCATTATCATTACTAATTAGCACACCTTCCTTCTGTGTGCCAGGGCCTCCAGCTATCCCCTGGTGGCACTGGCACAGTACCTCATGCAGCACCTGTCTCTTCTCTCTATAGTTCTGGCCACCATCAATGTGAACACATTTGAGAAGAGTGCTTTCGAGCAGCTTTCCCTCCTGCAGGTAAGGATGTCTTAGAGATGAAGAGTCTTTGCTCCTTTGCCTGCCCAATCCTCCCTAGCCTGTGCAGCTGGTGTTCAATGAGAACAGGCCTGGCAAGGTAACTCCTGCTTCCTTCCACCCCCAAGGCCTCAGCTAGGTTCCAAAGCAATTTGGGGAATTTATGCCTTTTGTCATGGGGAATGAAGAGGAAGTCCTGCTTCCATCACCACTGTTAGTGAAGCACCTCATGGAGATGACTAGAGGGAAAGTGAGGGGATTATGTGGGGTAAATCAAAGGGAGGTGATGTTCCTTTTTCTCTGCAAGGACAGAGCTCAGAAATTGGCTATATACATTGCTGAGAGAGGACTCATAACTAGCTTTGCTGGAGTCAGCCTATTTTAGCCAGACTGCAAATTATGGAAGTGAATAACTGTTGTACATGAATTCATTAACAACCATGGATGGAGTAGTTCCTATTTCCTCTCAGTGGGTTGTCCCTTGTGATAGTTTCAAAGATGGAAAAATCATGGTCCGTGCCTTTGGGAATTATATCCCTTCTTCACAGAACAGCTAGATTGAGCTCTTAAAGACCAAACTGATTATGGTTTCCTCTGCTTAACACACTTTCCTGGGTCTCCTTTGTGCCCAGGATAATATCCAAAGCTGGTGCCATGGCTGGCGAGGCCTGGTATGACCTGATGCAGTCTTCCTTTCCAGGCTCAGCCCACACTGCTCTTCTCCCTTAGGCAGGAAAGCCTTCTTCAGTACTGCAAAGTAAGGGGTGCACTGCTCACGTGGCCAGAGCCTCCCGAGGTGCTTCCTCTGCCTTACACCCTCCTACACAAGTTTTAATTGAAGAACAAATTAATCTTATTTCCTCTTCTCACTAATTTCTACACATCTTCTGACCTAGTACATGGAAGGACTCTGCCAGGGCTGGCTCCATGGCTATCTATTTTTTAATGGCTGTAGTAAGTCTCTTTTTTTTGTTGTTGGTTCTTTTTCTCTTGTCACTTTAAAAATTTTTTTTAAATTTTAAATTACTATTATTTTAAAAAATTTATTTATTTATTTTTATTTTTATTTTTATTTTTTTAAATTTTATTATGTTATGTTAGTCACCATACAATACATCATTGGTTTTTGATGTGGTGATCCACGATCCATTGTTTTCATATAACACCCAGTGTTCCATGCAGTGCGTGCCCTCCTTAATACCCATCACCGGGCTAACCAATCCGCCCTCCCCTCCCCTCTAAAACCCTGTTTGTTTCTCAGAGTCCATAGTCTCTCATGGCTAATTTCTCCCTCCAATTCCACCCCCCATTTTTCCCTTCCTTCTCCTAATGTCCTCCATGCTATTCCTTATGTTTCACAAATAAGTGAAACCATATGATAATTGACTTTCTCTGCTTGACTTATTTCACTTAGCATAATCTCCTCCAGTCCCATCCATGTTGATGTAAAAGTTGGGTATTCATCCTTTCTGATGGCTGAGTAATATTCCATTGTATATATGGACCACATCTTCTTTATCCATTCATCTGTTGAAGGACATCTCGGCTCTTTCCACAGTTTGGCTATTGCGGACATTGTTGCTATGAACATTGGGGTGCCTATGACCCTTCTTTTCACTACATCTGTGTCTTTGGGGTAAATACCCAGGAGTGCAATTGCTGGGTCATAGGGTAGCTCTATTTTTAAATTTTTGAGGCACCTCCACACTGTTTTCCAAAGTGCTGTACCAACTTGCATTCCCACCAACAGTGTAAGAGGGTTCCTCTTTCTCCACAACCTCTCCAACATTTGTTGTTTCTTGCCTTGTCAATTTTTGCCATTCTAACTGATGTAAGGTGGTATTTCAGTGTGGTTTTGATTTGAATTTCCCTGATGGCTAATGATGATGAACATTTTTTCATGTGTCTGTTAGCCATTTGTATGTCTTCTTCAGAGAAGTGTCTTTTCATATCTTCTGCCCACTTTTTGACTTGTTTTTTGGGTGTTGGGTTTGAGAAGTTCTTTATAGATCTTGGATACCAGCCCTTTATCTGTAGTTTCATTTGCAAATATCTTCTCCCATTTTGTGGGTTGCCTCTTTGTTTTGTTGACTATTTCCTTTGCTGCGCAGAAGCTTTTTATCTTTTTATTTTTTATTTTTTTTATTCTTATGTTAATCCCCATACATTACATCATTAGTTTTAGATGAAGTGTTCCATGATTCATTGTTTGTGCATAACACCCAGTGCTCCATGCAGAATGTGCCCTCCTCAATACCCACCGCCAGGCTAACCCATCCTCCCACCCCCCTCCCCTCTAGAACCCTGTTTGTTTTTCAGAGTCCATCGTCTCTCATGGTTCGTCTACCCCTCTGATTTCCCCCGCAGAAGCTTTTTATCTTGATGAAGTCCCAAAAGTTCATTTTTGCTTTTGTTTCACTAGCTTTTGGAGATGTATCTTGAAAGAAGTTGCTGTGGGTGATGTCAAAGAGGTTACTGCCTATGTTCTCCTCTAGGATTTGGATGGATTCCTGTCTCACATTGAGGTCTTTCATCCACTTTGAGTTTATCTTTGTGAATGGTGTTAGACAATGATCGAGTTTCATTCTTCTGCATGTGGCTGTCCAATTTTCCCAGCACCATTTACTGAAGAGACTGTCTTTTTTCCATTGCATGTTTTTTCCTGCTTTGTCAAAGATTATTTGACCATAGAGCTGAGGGTCCATATCTGGGTTCTCTATTCTGTTCCGTTGGTCTATATGTCTGTTTTTCTGCCAGTACCATGCTGTCTTGGTGATCACAGCTTTGTAATATAGCTTGAAGTCAGGCAACATGATGACCCCAGCTTTGTTTTTCTTTTTCAACATTTCCTTGGCGATTCAGGGTCTTTTCTGATTCCATACAAATTTTAGGATTGTTTGTTCCAGCACTTTGAAAAATGTCATTGGAATTGTGATCGGGATGGCATTGAAGGTATATATAGCTCTGGGTGGCATAAGCATTTTAACAATGTTTATTCTTCCGATCCATGAGCATGGAATATTTTTCCATCTTTTTGTGTCCTCTTCAATTTCTTTCATGAGTGTTTTGTAGTTCCTAGAGGATAGATCCTTTACCTCTTTGGTTAGGTTTATTCCGAGGTATCTTATGGTTTTGGGTGCTGTTGTAAATGGAATCATTTCTCTAATTTCTCTTTCTACAGTTGCGTTGTTAGTGTATAAGAAAGCAACTGATTTCTGTGCATTAATTTTGTATCCTGCCACATTACTGAATTGCTGGATGAGTTCTAGTAATTTGGGAGTGGAGTCTTTTGGGTTTTCCACATAAAGTATCATGTTGTCTGAGAAAAGAGAGAGCTTGACTTCTTCTTTGCCAATTTGAATACCTTTTATTTCTTTTTGTTGTCTGATTGCTGTTGCTAGGATCTCTAGTACTATGTTGAAAAATAGTGGCAAGAGTGGGCATCCTTGACGTGTTCCTGATCTTAAGGGAAAGGCTCTCAGCTTTTCCCCATTGAGGATGATATTCGCTGTGGGTTTTTCATAGATGGATTTTATGAACTTGAGGAATGTTCCCTCTATCCCTATACTCTGAAGAGTTTTCATCAGGAAAGGATGTTGTATTTTGTCAAATGCCTTTTCTGCATCAATGGAGAGGACCATATGGTTCTTCTCCCTCCTCTTACTAATGTGTTCTATCACATTGATTGATTTGTGAATGTTGAACCACCCTTGCATCCCAGGGATAAATCCCACTTGGTCATGGTGGATAATCCTTTTAATGTATTGTTGGATCCTATTAGCTAGGATTTTGTTGAGGATTTTGGAATCCATATTCATCAGGGATATCAGTCTGAAATTCTCCTTTTTGATGGGGTCTTTGCCTGGTTTGGGGATTAAGGTAATGCTGGCCTCATAGAATGAGTTTGGAAGTTTTCCTTCTGTTTCTATTTTTTGAAACAGCTTCAGTAGAATAGGTATTATTTCTTCTTTGAATGTTTGGTAGAATTCCCCAGGGAATCCATCAGGCCCCGGACTCTTGTATTTTGGGAGGTTTTTGATCACTGCTTCAATCTCATTACTGGTTATTGGCCTATTCAGGTTGTCAATTTCTTCCTGTTTCAGTCTTGGCAGCTTAAAGGTTTCCAGGAAGGCCTCCATTTCATCCAGATTGCTCAGTTTATTGGCATATAGTTGTTGATAATAATTTCTAATAATTGTTTCTATTTCCCTGGTGTTAGTCGTGCTCTCTCCCCTTTCATTCATAATTTTATTAACTTGGGTCTTTTCTCTTTTCTTTTGGCTAAGTCTGGCCAGTGGCTTATTGATCTTATTAATTCTTTCAAAGAACCAACTTCTAGTTTCGTTGATCTGATCTACTGTGTTTCTGGTTTCTAATTCATTGATTTCTGCTCTAATTTTAATGATTTCTCTTCTAATGCGTGGCTTAGGCATTGTTTGTTGCTTTTTCTCTAGTTCTTTAAGGTGTAGAGTTAGTTGGTGAATTTGGGATTTTTCTATTTTTTTGAGTGAGGCTTGGATGGCTATGTATTTCCCCCTTAGGACCGCCTTTGCAGTATCCCCTAGGTTTTGGACTGATGTGTTTTTGTTCTCATTGATTTCCATGAATTATTTAAGTTCTTCTTTGATTTCCTCATTGACCCAAACATTCTTGAGCAGAGTGGTCTTTAGCTTCCAAGTGTTTGAATTTCTGCCAAATTTTTTCTTGTGACTGAGTTCCAGTTTTAAAGCATTATGGTCTGAGAATATGCAGGGAATAATCTCAGTCTTTTGGTATCGGTTGAGACGTGATTTGTCACCCAGTACGTGGTCTGTTCTGGAGAAAGTTCCCCATGTGCGCTCGAGAAGAATGAGTATTCTGTTGTTTTAGGGTGGAATGTTCTGTAAATATCTATGAGGTCTATCTGGTCCAGTGTATCATTCAAAGCTCTTGTTTCCTTGTTGATTTTCTGCTTA